GAGGGCCAGACAGAGCCCAGTCCTGGAGGGGGCAGGAGCAGGGCAGGTGGAGGAGAGAGGAGAAATGGCAGGATAACCAAACCCTCCTTACTCCCTCAGAGCAGCATGGAGGTGTCTTCCTCTACGTCGACCAACCAGGTGGAGGTCCCTGACACCACCCAGAGCTCCCCACTGTCAATCACCAGCGACATGGCTGACAGTCCCGCTCTTGCCATTGGGGCTGGCTTATCACAGAGCACAGCTGTGTTCATGTCTGAGGTCACCACGCTGACTGGGGATTCAGTTTACTCCGCTGGCCATACCCACCTGCTGGCATCTACTCATGAGAGTACCACCGCTGGCATTCTGTTAGCTGTTGCCCCTGAAAACCAGAGGTTTGCATCGTTCCCTGGTGGGGTAGGCTTAGGGGAGGGAGGAGAGCTGGTTCTGTCCAGCTCTTTAGACTCTGGTGGAGGAGTCAGCCTTCCTGAGACCACCATGACCTTTGACCCTGATTGCTTCCTCAACAATCCCAAGCAGGGCCAGACGTATGGCGGCGGCGGAGGGAAGACTGAGGGGTGTAACGGCGATGACGGAGGACTCCACTGCTCCTCTAATGGCTTTGTGTACAACCCAGCCCTCGTCAACAACATCAAGACAGAAGCTACACCTCTGGAGCAGCCACTGGCCACTCAGAGCAGCTACGTGGGAGAAGGAACCGGCCTCAGCCCCAGCACCACCCTGGAGCAGATGGACTTCAGCGCTGTCATGTCATCAGCTTGTGTCCCGAGTCTCACCCAGCCTGCACACCACCCTTCCCCCAGCCTCTTCCTCCAGGCCTCCCCCCAGACGAGCCAGCCCTCTCAGCTGCAGAACAATGGTGCTGAGGCAACCCAGGAATCCGGCGAGGCCCAGGCGTACATAGGCCTGCCCACAGTGCCAACAGACTCTCCTGTCACCAACGGAGACCCACATTCACACCTCCACCAAGCCAACACAGACCAGCAGGCCCTGTGCGCAAGGAACGGACAAGGAGCGGCAGTGGGCTCTTTTCCCCTGACACCACAGGATGCTACCGTCGACCAGTCAGGCAACAGGGGGCATCAAGAGGTTGCGGGGTTAGAGAAGCCTCCTGAGAATGGAGGAGAGTTACTACTGAAGGCCGGGGATCCTCATGAGGCCTATACGAGCGTTGACACTGAGCACTACCTCCAGCCCACGGATGAAAATGGAGGAGGAGAGGAAGGCGGAGGAGGTGGCGGGGGACGAGGAGGGGAAAATGAGATTCTCTGCAATGGTGTGAGCTTGTCGGGGGGCAGCAGTTCAGTGGGGGCCAGTCCTCAGTCAATAGCTGCCGGTGCAAACATTGAGGGGGCGCTCTACAGCTCTCCACTTCCTCAGCAAGGTGGGGGGGTGTCAGCTACAACAGCTGGGGCAGCAGCTGCCATCAGTCTGGAAGGCTTTGAGGCTTCATTTGGAAGCCAGTTCTCTGATCTCATCAATGATTTCATCTCGGTAGAGGGGTCCGGGGCCGGGGTTGGGGCAGCGGTCACTGGGGTTCTGATGACCCAGGAGGGGGCAGCAGGAGAGGAACAGGGCACAGGAGCAAGCCACCTGCAGGGCTCCGAGGTGGAGCAGGGAGCTCTGGGACTCCTTCAGGAGACTGGGAGGCTGTTTGGTGTGACAGACTACTCTCCAGAGTGGTCTTATCCAGAGGTTAGTAAACCCAACTTGATTATCATTATTTATTCATTATTGTTCCCTGCAGTAAAATTAGGCCTTTCAGCACATGATTGACGGTAGCTTGTACTGATGTTAAACACTGAAATCATACTCAGCACAATTTGTACCGCCAGCTTGGTTGTGTGGTCATTAGAGAGTCAGAATATTTCAGACTCAGCTGATGGGATTTTGATGAAATTTCAATACTTCCCTGATTCCCCTGGGTGGCCTCATTAATTTACCCATGTACCACTTCTAATATCTCAGACACCAGCTGTGTCATTGAATTATGATGAAACTTGTGGATACATTACATCTCCCCACCATCGTGTCAAAAAAAAACAACGACTTGACAAAGTTGGTTTGTATGATTAGGGGGTCAAAAATGTCACAAAGAACTTGCGATGTCTAAATTCAGACAATATTTTTTGTACAGCTTTCTTCCAGAATCATCAGTGTTACATCATTTCAGCTTTAAGTTTCTTGAAGAAACAGTTTTTTCTCCACAGCTCGAAGGGTGATGACATAATTTTTAGAATGAACTTAAAAGGAGGACTACAAATGGCAGACAACAGAAAAACCTTGAAAACAAGACCTTTTTCTAACTTCATGACTCTTTGCCGCGGCCACGGAGGGACTTTATGCATTATAATATGTGCGACAACAAGAGTGAACTAGCAGCAGTGTGATTCATTCAGTTCAAACTACTTTGTTCTACTTGGATGTAAGGAGCAGCACAGCCTCTAGGGGCTGCTGCTGGTCCTTTTAGACTTACGAATTAGTCATTAACAAAATAATAGTTACTTTGTAAATGAAGCAGGTTATTATGTGTATTAGTTCAGGTTTATATAACAGAAAGCAAATATTTAGGCCACTGTGTCTCCGAGGTATGCTTTAGTCACAGATGAATTTGTGATATGTGATGGAAACACATTCACAAGGCCTTCTGTGCACACACACACACACATTTGCATACACATGGTACCACACTGACACACACATACAGATATCTTCATAGACCCAAAGTGTTTCAAGCGTGTTATCCTGCTATGACAGTGTAGTATGAATGCAAGGGTGCGTTTCATTCTCAAAGAATCTTTGTTAGCTATGTTTAAACTAATAGTAGCAGTTTCCTGTACACAAAATAAAGCATCTTGTGAGATATTAGACCGAGGTGTCTGTTTGTGTGCCGCAGGGTGGAGTGAAGGTGTTGATCACAGGTCCGTGGTTGGAGTCGAGCAGTGAATACAGCTGTCTCTTCGACCACATCAGTGTCCCAGCTGCCCTCATCCAGCCCGGGGTGCTGCGCTGCTACTGCCCAGGTAACACAACTGTGTTTGCAAACGCTACATCGCCTTAACACCGTCTCATTTTTAAATCACACAACAGCATCTACACCACTTCAGCATTTCGAATCACTAAAATGAAAGCCATGATCCTGTTTAAGTTTGACAGTGCCACAGGTGCATCTTAGTCTGAACTGGCAGAATGGAAATGATGACGCAGACACCCATATTTACTAGTCTTATTAGTCACTAGGTGTCCTTCCTGGATTATCCTGTCACATGACCCTTTTCCACGCGTAACAAAGACATCAGCGTTGACTACCAGTGCTTAATTAGGCATGAATAATAAATTGCAGGTGTCACTAGCAGCTGTTGGTTGCATTTTATCTTGGTAGTAGTATTTACATATGCCAGAGTCTAGCTATTGTTCGACGAGTCCCAAAATTTGTTTTCAACTGCCATGACCACCACTATGCATTTTTAGTTGGCCGATTATCAATCCAATACTCAGCATTTTTCCAATTGTTGAGGTCATTGTTTGTTAGAGCAATTTTGGATAAAATTATTCATTTTAATGCACTGCTTCAACTCTGATGTCTGCAGTCACCTTTCTGTGGTCTTGAGCAATGTCTAAAAGCTGAACAACACTGAAGAATAAATAATGAAAAGTTATTTTACAATTAAATGTAAGTAAGAATCAGTAAAAAATCAATCAATCAATCAATCAAAAATTGCACTGCAGAAGTCTTCCGAGCATTTCAAAAAAAGTTTTGTGTTGGAGTTTGTGTTATTCTAAATTTTGACACCAAGATTGTCATTTTTACTCCAAATACATATCAGTTCAAAAATGTATTTTCAGTCTACTTATTTACTAGTAATCAGTAATAATAAATCAGTACGAATAGAAGTAGTATAGTAGTCAGCCCCTTGTTTTCAGGTTTGTCTGAATGGAGATTATTCGGAAACTGTACCAAAACAGTTGTCTGGACAGCCATTGCTTTCATCTTAAAATGCAGTTTTAAAAGTAGTGAGTGTGGATGTGGCCTCACACATCACACACTTTTCTTTATTTTGTGAATTGAAACCTTCCTTCGGCCATCACACCCTTTGCAAGAAGCCGTTTCTGAGAAGAGGAACCCTTACTCCAAACCCTTATTGGAAAATGCTGTCTCATTTAAACGAGAAGATAAAAACAATACTAAGAGAATCGTGAGGAAGCACACCATTTGACAGATACGCAGTGCTCACAGTTTTGCTTAAAAACTGTTTTTAGGATGTGCAGTAAGTGATAATAGCGTCTTACAAAGCAAATACTAGACACACACACACAGCGGGTAATGTGGACAATGCAATTTCTTGAAATTATTCTTTGATGTCTACCGTCACCAAGCACAGATTAATGTAGCGCACGCACACACACACACACACACACACACACTCTCACTGTTGCTGATTCCTGTCCTCATGTGTGTTTCCAGCCCATGACACAGGACTGGTGATGCTGCAGGTAGCTATGGGCGGTGAGGTCATCTCTTCCTCTGTGGTGTTTGAATACAAGGCACGTGACCTTCCTGCCCTGCCGTCTTCTCAGCATGACTGGCTGTCACTGGATGGTGAGAGCAATTATTTGACAATCACTTATGGTTACGCTCATCCTGTTGTCCTGTGTTAATTACTCAGTTAGGAACATGAACCAACATGACATTCAACTGCCTCCTGGTGTGACTATTCAATGTGAGCCTGAAAGTATGATACAAAAAAACGTGCTAAATTTGTTATGTTGTAACTCTGAGGAAACCTGTTGATGTGCATCTCCAGCCAAAGTTGCGCTAGTATTGTGTTAACACTACTTCTGCATTGGCTTAAGTGCATTCTTATGTGCATGCAAGAAGCTTTTTGCTCTTGGCACCCTCTGACTGCATGCACATTCATTCAAGAAGCTCTTTAACTGTTCTTTTAAAGATGTAAGCATCTACTTCCTTTATCTTTGCAGCTGAGATTGCCTTGTTGGATTTGTTTATTGCACACTCATTTATTAGGAAGTCCACTGTGTGTGTGCGCGCACAGCTTTGGAGCGCTAGATGTTGTTCTTGTGTGAGTTATCAAATTAAAAACACGCTGTGAGATGTTAGAGGACAATTAAACGTTCTTGGCTCCTGAGGGGGGATTGGCTGCAAATGTCCGCACAGCTTCTGTGTGCAAATATATCTCCTGATGCAATTGCAGCTCGGAAACACACGGGTCTCCTCGGCTGAGGCATGTCCTGGGTTTACTCTTGTGTTCGCCCCCGTCTCTCTCTGCGTTGCGCAATGCGGCAATGCGGCTCTCCAGTCACAGCAGGACTGGCTGTTTGTGCTGGAATATGAAGGGCAAGGACACCGTGGCACAATCGCGGTCCGTTTGACAGTGAAAATGCTGTGGCACCGCTGGCATGCTGTGCAGCCTATATATAGGCGCTGTGTTTGACTTTGGATGTGCGCTCTGCCTGTGTTTTTTTTTTTCTCCCGCACAAGCCCCTCTTTGTTTGGCCTCAAACGCGCGATCAGAAGAGGCTCAGAGGAGAGAGAGTGGGGGGAAAAAACAGAGATAAATGATTCGAATCTGCACACCGCTTTGTCACAAGCTCCAATTTAGCTTGTGTGCAGTCTGGTTTGTGCCGATGACGACCGAGTCTCCTGCAGCTCAAAGTCTGGCGGGCGGATTTGAAGCGCTGCGCTCTCAGACACAACGTGGAGACTCTCTCTCTCTCTCTCTCTCTCTCTCTCTCTCTCTCTCTCTCTCTCTTTCTCTCTCTCTTCCTCCCTCCCTCTTTCTCTCTCTGCACTTAGTTGTGTTTTGCACGGTTGGAGTAGCAATGTGTGAGTCGCACACTTCAAACTAACGGGGTTGAGCAGAAGCGGGAACAGGAACAAAGAGAGCAGCAGATAGAGAGAAAGAAAGAGAGACTCGCTGTTTTGGGTTCGTAGCTGATTTGATTTTTTAAACCGATGGTAACTCCCCACAACGCGCCCTTGCGTTGTGTTGTTTTGTAGCTGGGTTAAGTTTTGTTGTTGTTGTTGTTGATTTATTTTCTTTCTGTGTCGTGTTGCTGTAGATGGACATGAGCGTGTCTGTTTAGGTTAATATCTGTGCAGCCTCAGCTACTTTTTTTTTTTTTTTTTTTTTAAACCTGTCAAAATATTTGTAGTGGCTCCATGTGATGCGCACAGCCTCTGTCGATTTCAAACAAAGGGATGCCACAAGTCATCACGTTGTTTGCGCGCTGATGGATGGTTGGATTGAAAGACACAGCAGAGCTTCTTGATTGTGGTTGCAGAGCTGGTGATTGAGCTTGTTTTACCGTTTTGTTTGTTTTTGTTTTTTTTTTTCTGGGTTGAGCTGCTCAGTTTCAGCACCAGCAGCAGCGGACAGAGACACTGAACTCTGGAAGTACAAATTAAAGGAGGCTGCTGGCTCCTGTAGAGGCCCTGATAACAACAAGCCCATAGAGACAAGTGGGGGATGCTCATCAAGCTTCAGTACTCAGTGCTGGACGTGTTTACATGTGCTCAGACGTTTAATATTGAAAATGTCTTTGTGTGATGAACAATTTTCCCACTAACTCTGAAGAACACAAGAGTTTTGAATGAATTTGAATTAAGGCAGGACTATTGATCTGCAAAAAAAAAGACAGGGAAAAGAAATCAGAAAAAGCAGTGAACTTGAAGTTTTATGCAAATCTGCACCTGGTATTTAGCTATGAAGTCATTAGTCTTAAGTGGGCCAACTGTGAGCGGGTTTTTGCAAATTATTTTGAACAGCTTTACTCTTCGTTTTGACAGAACTTTAATCATCATTAGTTCAATAGAAGAATCAATTTAAAGGAAGCTAGATAAAATTAAATGTGGTGTGGCACTGTTAATTATTGTTAACAAACTTACAAGTTTGTCTCGCTAGGTGGTGATTTTTTTTTTTTTTTTTTTAATAAGTGAAAAGAATTTGAAATGCAGCCATGTGTTATCCAAGTTCGAGACTTCAAACTGTGCTGTGATTGATCATAGTTCAAAAATAACCTCAAACAGAACAGAAAAGTGTCTGAAGCTGGTCAGAAAGTTATTCAGAGCAGGATTATTAAACAAACAAACTTTAAACTGCAGCTGAGGTGTAAAAATAATCTATAATCTGCAGGCATTTAATGGAAGCTGGAGTATCACCAGAAAATCAGTACATTTTCTTACTGTCAGTTATCGTCCATTTACTTAATTAAAACACTTAAAACGGTTTATAAAGTTATAGTGTATAGTCATATACAATGTTGCATTCCATTAATGGCATTAATTATTTTGGAGATAGAGGAATTCATTCTGTTTTAATTGAATTTTTCAGTGTTCGGTTGGCCTTTTTCATAGTCCTCTTTCTTGTGTATGACAGGTAGATTAATGAAATGTGCGAGGACATGAAGATGAATATTTCAAATTCATGAATTGATTTGTCAGTTAGGAAGGGTAATTACATGAAAATTGTATCCCTACTTAATTGCCTAATTTCAGTGAATGTTTGACAACTATCATGTATTAATTTATTTTAATTAGTCACAAAAATTACACTGCAGCAGATGCCAGCCTCTCTAGCATGCTCCCCACGTGTTATTATTATTTTTGTGTGTTGTTATGTGACCAGGAGTCTTACTTAGTTTCCTTTATTGTGGATATTTGTGTGCTTGTGTATCTGTATTTGTGTGTCCCCTGTTTGCATTTGCAGGTGAAGACAGGTGCTTCTTTTGTGGAGTGTTTTGCTTTGTTGTGAGCTGAACTGTATTACTATGAAAGCCCTGCTCTGATTGGCTGAGTGCAGAGAGGGAGGAGCCTGAGCCTCTGTGTCACAGTCGTGGCTCCACCCCTTCTGCTTAGTTTGTGTGCTGCAGACAGCAGAAAGAAAAATAGGAGTGAAATAAGAGGAGAGAAAAACAGAGAGACTGAGTGAGAGAGCAGCAGGTGGGATGACATAATGTGCACTGCAGCAGAACTGCAGCAGCACTGAAACAAAGGGTCACAATCACACACAGCAATGCCACAGAGATAAACCTACGGTTGTCATTAGTTGTGTACTCTGTCACACACACACTCGCAACCACACACGCGTTGCATGTTTCCCCACTTTCCATTGTTAGACAGGAGACTTATTGGATTTCAGCTCTGATTTACTCTCCAGCATTGAGCCCCTCAGATGAGCTTCTCTTTTTAAGCCTCTCTAAGTAGGATTTACTGAAACATAATGTTGATTTGCTTAAATGCAGCGAGCAACTAGCCAGTGCTCACAGTTTTACGTGTCCCATCTTTGTTTCTGTAGATACTCAGTTCAGGATGTCAATCTTGGAGCGTCTAGAGCAGATGGAACAGAGGATGGCTGAGATAACCAATCAGAACCCCAGCTCGGAAGCCATGGCAACCAAGGGTGGAGGAGTGGAGGGAGGAGGAGCCAATGATCAGCAGTCTCAAGTAAATCAGTCATTGTGATGATGTGAATGTGTACCGGTTGAGCAGCTCAGCTAAACAACTTAAAACTAAAAGAAATTGTTGAAACTCAATTAAAATTGAGTTTGAATCACTGAAATTTAATTTGAAGATTGTATGTCAGTAATTTATTGATTTAAATCCCAACAACAGGTTTCTCTACAGTTAAGGAAACTTTAACAAAAATAACCTAAACATTTTCATTAGTTTTAATTAAAAACAACCTCTACAACATTATGCAACCTTGGATAATGTTGTAGAGGTGGACTCTGAGGTGCACTGAATCAAGTCTGTCTTATTTTCTCTCAAAGGCAACATTCATTGTACTAGACTTCTATATATTGCAAAAGTTCTCCAACAAGTTTCTGAGTAAAAGTTAGTGACACCTTGATGTACATTTTCAAACCCCACAATTCAATACATAAACCCATTAAAAAGATATTACCCAACATTTACCTGGTCTGTCCTTTTCGTTCACAATCTTTTAGATCTCTCCCGATCAAGGTTCGTTTGAGGGTCGTGTGGTGGTGGTGTGTGAGAAGATGATGTCTCAGCCGTGCTGGGCTTCTTCTAATCAGCTCGTCCACAGTAAGAACTCCAGAGGAATGACCTTACTGCATCTGGCTGCAGCTCAGGGCTATGCAGGGCTTATTCAGACACTTATTCGCTGGCGGTGAGTACAACGTAAATGTGACAGACCATTGTAAAGGAACAGACTCTGGCAGTAATTTCACTTCTGCTGTCTTCCTCTGCAGTACAAAGCATGCTGACAGTATTGACCTCGAGCTGGAAGTGGATCCTCTCAACGTAGACCACTTCTCCTGCACTCCTCTGGTGAGCCATCTATACTTTCACGTGTCTTTCTGTCCATTCCTGAGTATGTGAAGTTTGTTTTCTTTGCACCTCCGCAGATGTGGGCATGTGCTCTGGGCCATACTGACGCAGCATTGGTGCTTTACCAGTGGGACCCGAGAGCCCTAGCTATTCCTGATTCGCTGGGACGCTTGCCGTTGAACATAGCCCGGTCCCGGGGCCACACTCGATTGGCTGAGCTCTTGGAGCAGCTGCAACAGAGTCCTCAAACTCAGGGCCAGTCTGCGGATGCTTGGATGGACAGATGGAGAGCAGAGTCACAGACCAGCGGAATAAGCAACAGCCCCACCCCTAACTCAAACTCAGGTGCAAAAGTGTGCTATTTTGTGGTTTAAAGGATCAGTTCATGCAAAGTACCAAAAAGTTTTCCTCCTTATCCTCAGGGTTGGTAACCAGGCAGATGGTTTCAGTTTTATTTAAGGAAGTTTTAATTACATCACCAAGAACTTCTACCACTGACCTATAACTAGCGTTGGTGTAGCTGGTTAGCTTCGCTTGACTGGTAACTGTGCTTAGGTAAATGTCTCACTAATTAGTCTGTTATACAAGGTTTGTTTAAAGATAAGTCTATAAAGAGTTGGGCGCTTTTTTTGGCCACGAGTAGTAACCTTCTCCTGTCTCTCTTGGTTGCCTGGAAATTGCTCCAGGACAAGAAATCCTTTGGCACCTAACCCCATATAACCTCCTAAAAACTTGTTTTTGCACAGGTTTTTGTACGGATTGTACAAACAATATATAACGTGTTATACAGGGAGCTTTAAAGATGCTGGCGGGCAGATTTTGTTTCCTTCAGACAGATTTTAGCTGAGCAAAGCTCGCAGGCTGCTGGCTTCAGTTACATACTGCAGTTATTGGCCAGGTCTGAAAGTGGTATCGAGCTTATTGTCCAGCTCTGGCAAAGAGAGCAAATAAGTGTATATCCTAAACTTTTATTCTGACAGTAACCACTTGTATAGTATAATTCACAGATCTCTGTTGTCAGTATAAACTTGAAAGCTGAAAATTATCACCAGTACTAGATATTTCTAAGTAAAGTATGGAATGCATGACTAACATATCAAGTGCAGTGAGAATTGGTGTTGCTGTTGTTACTTGTTCTTATTTTCTCCCGTCTTTGCTTATTCAGAGCTGAGGAGACCCAGGACAGAGAGCCAGCCGGACAACCAGACCCAGAGCTGGAGTCAAACAGGACACAGAGCCCCACAGGGAACCCAAGGAGAACAGGGAGGTCCACCCCCAGCCAAGAGACTCAAACCCAGTCCCGACACCCAGCAACAGCTAGCTAACTCAAGCCCTGGCAACAACCCTCTCAGCGCCCTCCTCCACTCTTCTCCAAGTCCTACTCCTCAACGTTTTCTCCCCTCCAAGACCCTACAAACTCAACCCTCCAACCTCAGCTGTCAGAACGCACCTCTTGCCAGCTCCAGCCCCAGCCGGCCTCAGCTCCCCAGTGCCCCATTCTCCCACCTGCAGGCCAGGATAGGGGGGTCTGGAGGGGGCACCAGGTGGAGTCTGAGACACACTCTGGGGCAGCGTAGCTTAGCCAGGAGGATTCTGGGAAAAGAGCGACTGGCCATACACCTGCGCCAAAGAGTGCTGTCTGACAGGGGAGAAGAGACAGAGCTGCTGACCTACCAGGATAACACAGAGGACCTGCAGGTATGGGGAGCACAATGTTCAGGGAAGTTCTGCTCTTGTTCTCTTACTAAGGAATTAGTTTTTTTGTGAACCACCTTTTTTATGTGAGGATTGGGGTTAACTACGATACTTAAGTGGTGATAGCACAAGAAATTCTGTGCAAGAAATTAAGGGAAACATTTGTTTTAAACTTGCCCGCCTAAAAGTGTAACCATGGAAGTGGTTGTTCTGTTGAGTATTTTAAGTGCATATGAATGAGTGTTATGTAGAATATATAGATAATTTTTAATCTAAAGGGCAGTGGGTGTTACGAATACTTAAGTAGCATCTCCTTTGCATGTGTTGCAGATGGACATTACGATGCTAGCTGATCACATCATGGAGGCTTCAACTGGTAGGCTGAAGCAGGAGGCGATGGAGTCTGAAATCGACTCCGGGAAGGTGGGAATCAGCAGTGATGTCAGGTTACTCTCTAGTTACCTTGGTGAGGTGGAAAGGTGCGTCAAAGAATCGTCAAAGTCACCACATTGCTTTGCCTAACTCATTAAATGGTCTGCTTTTTTTTTATTATTATTCTAATACTTTTGCTTGGCTTGCTCCTTTCCTCCAGGTTTCTAAAGTCCAAGCCTCAGACTCCCAGCCCCAAACCAAACTCTCTCTCAGGGCCGGAGGATGAGCAGAGTCCTCAGGCTAAACAAGCCCTATCCTCCCCCCTTGAGTGGAACTCCTTCCTCTGCGCAGCTATGAAAGAAGAGAGATTGAAAACGGACTCCTCCTCCTGTCTAGCCATGACTGAGGCCGAGCAGGGAGAACTGTATGAGACCATCAGGCATGCTCTGCACTCCCTCAGAAAACACAAGGCAAGTATGAAACCCACTCCTGGTGACGGTTTGCATTTAGTAGCTATGCTGGTCTATCTACAGTGTGAGTCATTTTGTCTTCCTGTGTGGTTCTCTTGCATAATCCAGAATTAGTTGAAAGAGATTGTTATGACAACAAACCGTTTTACATATACAATATTAGGACTAACTCTCACTGTTCCTTCCTCCAGGGTGCCATTCAGGAACAACGTAAAGAGATTGCAGCAGTGATTCAGCGCTGCTATAAGAGATACAAGCAGGTAAGTGTTCGTAACATACAACTAGCATCAACCCACTGCTGGCTCTTATGTCAAACGCTCCTAAAGTTTAGTACTGAATTGGATTTTCAGAAATAACATCATTAATTGGTGTGTTCCTTTTATAAAGTTAGACTAAAGTGACATAAAACTGTTGGCTTTTCATTTTGGCTCTCACTGATATGTAGTCAAATCTATTTAGTCAATGATCAGTTCATTTCAGTCCACTAAAAAATAACTGTGGTACACATTCTACATAAACTACTAGTCTCAGTTATGATGGTATTAACTTTTTGTCCTTCGACTGCTCCAATGTATTGACCAGTAATGCAACCCTGTGGCCTAATGTCATGCACTGTGTTTATTGCAAAAATGTTTGAGTCAGTTTTATCTCATTTTAGTTTTTTTGCTTCAGACAGCTTAACATAATATATTCTGAACATTTATTGACTAAACGAATGATTGGACAAGCTGAAATAAGTCTGTTGGTCTGAATTTGATATTGCAGAGGGACTTTATATGGTCCCCTTTAAAATGTTTTCACAAGTTTCCCAAGCTATTTTGTCAGATTCTGACTTTTTCTTTCCTACTAACAAGGACACACATATCTAGGTTAAGATGATATCATATATTCACAGTTACACAATGTACATTTATTGAAGAAAACTTTAATATAAACTTTTACTCTTTGTTTACGAATTTAAAGTCCTACAATTTTCAGTGCTTTGTTGATGACATCACATAATTGTATCAGATTTTTTGTTTGCTATGTAGTTTTTATCTTTGGCATTGGTGTGGAAATAAAAAGATGATACCTGTATATTCAGAATTCAACATTACAACAGTAATCCTGTTGTGCTGACGGAGGGCTTCATGATGCTGCTGTCTTCTCTCTCAGTATGCACTTTATAAGAGAATGACCCTGGCAGCCATCCTGATCCAGAGTCGTTTCCGGAGTTTCCATGAACAGAGGAAGTTCCAACAGAGTCGTAGAGCAGCGGTCCTCATCCAGCAATACTACCGCTCCTACAGACACTCCCTTAGGTACTTCACAACGACACAGACACGCCGGGATTAATTATGTTGTAAAGATTTCTTACACTCATGTCTTTGCTTACAGCAGCCTCCTAACTAAAAAACAGAACCAGGCTGCTCGCAAGATCCTGAGGTTCCTGCTCCGATGCCGCCACAGGTGAGGCATAAAACTCTAACACACCCTCAAACACAACTGCACACACATCCAAGGGCTGATACACATGACACAGCCCACTGCCACGCATGCGCACACTACACTGGTGCTAATAGTTGGTGTTGTTTTACTGTTCCTGTGAAGCCCCTTGATGGACCATAGGCCTCTGAAACGGGTGAGTCGTCTCTCGCTCTCTCTCCTCTCTCTCCCTCTCTCCCGGTGGCTGATGCCTGTTTGCATGTCAGCGGAGGGAGGGGGAGAGGAGATCCTGGATTATCATCCTTCCCTCTCGCTCTCTCTCTCTCTCTTCTTCCCTCCCTATCTCCTTGTCTCTCTCTCTGTCCCTCTGAGGACTGTCGAATGATGTCAGTACTTGTGCATGACTGACAGATAGATAGAGGAGCGATTCTTGCATATGGTCTTCCTGGGGGCATGTTCTGACTGTCATCACTAGGGGACTTTAAGTGTTTTGCTTGGCCTGCCTTTTCTTTTGTGCCTTGATGGGTGGGGAGGATAACAGGATGGTGTGTGTGTGTGTGCTGGATGGGAATTGCGGGTGGGGAGGGGCTGTTGAAAAAGTTTTCCTGTTGCTCTGAGTATGGCCTTTGGATATGAATATGGAAAAAACACAAAGACATGCAGTTACACACACACACGCTCACATAAATCTCTCTCTGAGTGTGTCTCTAATATGTGTTTGGTTTTCCTGCAGGGCCAGAGAGCAGAGAAAGGCCAGGGGTCCTGAGAGCCCACCACCAGGCCCCGCACACAGCCCCCTCAGCCTGTGAGCAATCTACACACCCTCCCCCTTCCATCTTCTCCTTTTTCTTTCTCCTCTCTACCATCCTTCCCAAACCCTGGTCCCTTTTCCATTTCCCAACCCCTTCCCCGGTCCTCTTCTTTCCTCCTCCCCCCTCCTCTCTCACCCTCTCTCCCCTCTTCCCTCAAGAGGGAAAAAAAACTCCTTCCAGACAGACTGAGGACAGGATAGGTGTCCATCATGGCAGCTCAGACAGACAGACTGCTGGGCAGAGCCCAGGGACCTGGCTCTGCCCACAGCACTGATCCTCCTCCACAGTTTCACTGGGAGGCCATCACATTAACCTCATGGCATTCTTTGCACTCTTCATGGGTATGTTTCTTTGCAAGAACAAGTCGACGAGTCAAACAAGAGAAAGCGAGGAAGCGCCTGACGACGACGTCCTGCTGTTCATGGCAGCAGCTGGATGTGCTGAAAGGCTCCTGTGATGAACAACCGGCTCAAGAGAAAGGCTACTTTGACATGCAGAAAATACACAAAACCTGTTGCGTTTTGTATCCAAACAGAGATCCATGAAAGAATAAGAAAACATAAACCAAAAAACTCACTTCTATGTTGCATTTGCATGCAAGGTTTTTTCGCTTATTCCTCCTCTCCATCATCCTGAAGAGCTACAGTGGCAAATCATTCTGCTGATTCAGTATATCACAACATCACCAACCACTCTGACTCACAGGCTTATAAACCTAATAATCAGTCACCCAATCAAAAGGGGAGGAACTGCACTTGAATGTAAGAGGGGCATTGTTAGATAAAGGGATGGGGTCTGAATAACGATGTCTTAATTTGTTACATGGACTTTGTATGGAGTCGTTCTCAGAGGCAGCATTTTGCTCGCCTGCCGTGGTGTGTCCGTGTTTGTTCAATTCAATGCATGTGTTTGAGCTACGAGCTCCTGCATGCTTGCCAAACTGCTTTAGTGTTGTTTCTTTTGTATTTCTATGTGTAATTGTGTCTCACTTACGTCCTCATCAACTTATCCTTGCCCTGTGTAATGTGAACTGTGTAAGGACAAATGACTTATTTTGGGTGCTTTTTTTACTTTATTTATTTAAGGGTCTGATTATTTATTTAATTGGCTCAAGAGTGGTTCAGCTTGAGACTGGTTTCCCCCCACCCTCCCCCGTGTGATAAAATATGACATGTTCCAATGGTTAAATGTCTCTGTTAGTTTGTTCTTTGCGTGAACCTCTAAATCCTAACTGTGGTTTTGAGGAGAGAGTCACATACCATTGCCTTGACTTCTTCTTGACTCTGAGAGGTCTCTATGCTTGCTCTGTACAGGACATGGGTCCTATACCTGCCCCTATACAGGGCATTGGTCCCCATATTAGCCCATATGGGCGATCAAATCCATATTTTGGACTATTGCATATTCCTGTATATAAACTGACGAGGTAAGGGGATACGAGGACCCTGAAACTTTTTCATAAGAGGACTGTATTTAAGATTATAAATTATTTTACTCCCATAATGAGAACTTAAGACAGAGACCTGGGTACACAGGATGGCTGTATTGCTTGTAAATAATGTAGATATTACAAACGGAGTAATGTGCATGAGATTTAAGACAAAGAAACAGCAAAAAGAACATGTTAGTGGCTATGGACTGTGAGAGGATTTTAACTGCTTCACTTTAAGAGTATCCAGTATAAGTGTTACTGAAAAGAACATTTTGTTAAAGCATGCAACTGAAAAATCTAATGTTAGAATTATAAGTGGGAAAACAAAGTTAGCTGAAACAATGATCTTTCAGACAAAACATTTACACTTTGTGCTTTTGTTTCTTGGCTAGCAAAAATTAAACCCTTTTTGCCAGTAGTGCCAATTATTATGAATGCTATTTTGCCTAACAATATGTTACGTTGGGGAAAGCAACACCCAAAAGATATCAGTAAGATCCACAGAGGCAACACACACAGACCATAAACAGTAGAAGAGATCTAGTACTAGCTCAGCCGTAGACCTACAAGTTCTGATGTTTGTCTAAGGCAGACTTATAAAAAGATGATGATGATGATGATGATGGTGATGATGGTGAAGGTGATGATGCAAGTATGAAAATGATACTAATGGTGATGATGACTTTGATCATTTTAATGGGAATGCAATGACTGATTACCCAAAAAGGGAAGAGGGCGCTACATTCTTTACAATGTGGTTGTGCTTCAGCAACATACTAGCTTTTATTAAGACCATTATTCACACCTACAGCAGATCCAGCCTGGCCTCCAGTCAAAGCTTTCCATCTTCAAACAGAATGTCTCCTCCCCACTTTTTACATATCATTTGATTGATCTTTCTTTTTCTCCTCATTGTCACTGCCATACTTATATGACATGTACTTTAGACTTCTGGAAAGCTCTGTTTAGAAAGTGCCTGCTCAATAACAGAAAAGTGCAAACTAATATCAGGAAATATCTATTGTATGTCCTCCAAAAGGTTTCCAGTTACCTGTTTATTTTCCTAAATTGTGTGTTAAAAATGAACTTGACAGTGTTAAACTTGATCTGAGTCTAAGTTAGAAGCTCTAATTTGTCAGTGGTATGAATGAATGCTCATGGCCTGATTGATGCTGTGTGTTGCTTTATGAGACAAACCAGTAATTACAGTATCACTGTATGCCCCACTTTTGTGTGCATTTTGCAGTATTAGAAAGAAGAAAAACCATTGAATTCAGCTTCTGTGTATGAAAGGCACTGTCACGAGTCTATTCACCTCCCCGGTGTCGCTGTTGGGAGGAAGATGTGTTTTCTTTCATGCACTCTCTTTGTCTGTCTTTCCCCCAGAAAAAAAAAAAAAAAAAAGTATTTGCAGCATTTAAACGAAAGCATAACTGGGCAGTTTTTTAGAGGACAAAAAAAACGTTCATGCACACTTCATTTCTTTGTCTTTCTCTGTCACTCACTGTCTCACACGGATGTGCACGCACACACACACACACACACACAAACATACACACACACACACACATAAACGCATACATACACAAACACAAATGTACACATTCAGGCACAAAAAAAAAAAGCGGCCACACTCTTTCTCTCTGTGCTTATGTCTTTGGGAACAATGAAATCTCTCCCTTAGATTTTACTCAGGGTTGAAGAACAGGGAGATTGTATGTGGAGTGTAATGACGGCTTGCACAGAGATGTACTACTGGTGACTGTGTACATTTGGGTATGCATATGTATGTATATATATTTGTGTCTCTTAGGAATACTCCAATTGACCATGTACTACTCAGTATTTTAAACTGTTCTTGAGCTTTCTAATATTTCAGTCTTATTTTGTAAAGCAGCAAATGTGATCTGTTTGCTTTATCCAACCTGTATCTTGCATCGATTTTTCTACAAGACAGAAACATCTACAGATCCCTTATTTTATATTTTGCTTACATATAAATTCATTTGAAAGCCAGTAATGAGAGAGAAAATCTATTTATACGCTTGCCCTTGTCTTAAATGCACAAGAATCTTAATATGAGCAATTCTTAGATAATGTAAAAATAACTAACAGCCCCACATAACCTAAAAATAATCAAAGAGATACTAGATTATTTAAACACTTAGAATTGGAAGATATCTATTGTGTGTGCCACATGTTTTCTTAATTTTCATCATACTGAGAGACAGCCACGGTTAGGACAGTGCTGTCAGGAGCATTCATGCTACGGTATCACTTGAACCTCCTCTTAACCTGCCCCTCCTCTCGCATCAGCACAACTAAAGAACACTGCTTTGAACTCCTTTATATATATATATATTATGTATACACACACACGCGCGCACACACACACGCACACACACAGAGCAACATCCGAACGCTTGCGCTTGTCAACTCACACAGAACACACACACATGAAACCAAACACACAGACAGAATGCAGAAAATCCATCGATATGTTCATGTTTTTGGAGAGGATGGTGACTGTACAAAGATTATGTAGTGTAAAAAAAAAAAAAAAAAAGGAAATATAAAATAAAGAAATGTTGCCATAGTAGACAGCTGGTAGACATGCGCAGAGATGGCCTCTGTTCTCATAAGTCCGCCTAGAAATGAATGGTATAACCTTTCAGGCCTTGTTTTGAGAGGGCGTGGCCAAACACCACATTGCATGCTAGAATGGTAGACCCTTATAGATAATCTATGGCTAGACCTCTCCTTGCCTTCCTCTTCTTTCACCCTGTCTTCCCTCTCTCTCTTTCTCTCTCTCTCTCATATCTCCTGCTGTATTCCCACCTTGCCTGCTGTTGTGTTCTCCATGCCTATCTCAGTCTCTCATTCCTCTTTTTTTGTAGCCTAGTTTTTACTTTTTTGTTTTACAAACATGCATGCACAAGCATCACTAAATTGTTGATGTTTTTAAAAGAATATTTTGTTGCTGAGGCCATGCAAAGTGTTTTGAATATTGCCCTTATATGTGGAAAATGTCTTCTGAATGCTTTACATAATTTCTGCTGTAAAATGAAATCAGAATAAAAAGAAAATTTGCACTTTAACTTATTTTCTGTCTGATATTTATTCCACTTCTGAGTTATGTATGCTTGGTGATGACCTACACTCAATGAGCTCAATAAAAAAAAATAAATGAATAAATAAAAAGAATGCCACTGTTTGTTTCAGTCTTTTTGAGTTATAGCAACTTCTAATGAAGTTATGTTCAACCAACCAACTATACTGAGTTAGAAGGATTACCGTTTCCTCTACAGTCAGGGTCTTTTTAATTACTCAGTACTTGGTAGCTTAAGCACACGTCTTTAAATTGATTATTCATGAAAACTAACGTGTTCAAACTAGCATTCCCACAATATCTTAAAGAAATTTTAAAGTGTTATTTACTCAAAGACCATAACAATCAACACAAGTTGGTACATTTAAAAAATCGCATTGTTCCAATGATCAGTAGGTACAGAAGGGGACTTGAAATCATGAACCTCAAGATGAAGAAAAGTTCTGTTATCAAGGCAATTTCATTACATTAACTTAACTGAATTTAATTGCTCAAACTAGTTTTACATCAACTAACTCAGAAACTTAAGTTTAAATAACATGTAATAATAAGCTGATGCACCATCATGTCAAACCTGTCAAGATGATGTCAGCAATTTAAATAGTTTATCTAAATTAGTAAATTAAAATTAGTTTTATTTAAATAGTTTGATTATTGCCAAATAATTTAGAAATAATGGGCTTAAAACAAAAGTCCTAATTTTACTAAAACATTGAACTTTTACATTTTTGTTCAAACTAATGGTTAACGTCCCATATGAGTCCCATATGAACAGGTTGTATATGTATATTGTGGACTAACAAAATCTTACGTCCACATACCTCAAATCTTTAGATTTCCTCAGACAAATAAGAGAATTCCAGTGATATTTAAACAAGAATGCCAGTTTATCTATATAGCTCCTTGTCATACACAAAGACTATTCAAAGTGCTTTACAGGCAAAGGTTTGAACAAACCAACCAAAAACCACACATATTTTTAAATTTTTTTTTTTTGGTGTGGTTTATTTTTTTTTAAAAAGTACAGACAGTTAAATAAAGTCCACACAGATTCATTAGAATAACTAAAACTGATTGAAAAAGACAAATAATAACGATTGTTTAAAAACAGTGGGAAAAACTTATCAATTCTTTATTTTATATTTTGTATTTAAAGATTTGCAAGACCACACTTATCAAAAAAATAAATAAAAAAGTGAAAAAATTAAAAAGACCTGAAATGAATATTAACCGTACCCAGTGTCAGGATGGGAGTTGTTTGGGAGGGGGCTTCTTAATTCATGGGGGTCTGTTACTCAGGTTCACCATAAAGGACAATAAAACTGAACACAAGATGTAGTAAACTATGATACACGGAGTCTAGGCAACCAAGAGCAGGGGTACGAGTGACTGTTAATATCGATATGTCATGATGTTGTAAATGGTTTTCCCAAATGGGAAAAAAATAGCTTCCACCGGAAAATTACTGGTATATTCTACTTACGTCACGCCAATTTCTTTTTACCGTAAAACGCTGTTTACGTTGTACCTTAATGTCTAACATGATCCCAGTAGAGGCTTGACAACAGTTTTCGACAAATGACAAATCTCAACAATTTTAAATCACATTTCAATACCATCAGAGTTTATTATTTCTTAATGTTGTTAAAAAATATCCCTCGTTTCTGTGTGCATGTCTTGCGCAATTCACGGTGATTACGGTACTAACCGGAATTGTCGTAGGAATCGCAGCTGATATAAGGACGTGGTTTGTTCCGGTGAAAAGTGGATTTTGCTGCTCCAAGGCGGACGGTTTTAGGATAGATTTTTATCATGTTTTAATCAACAAATGTACATATTTTAGGACTTTGGGATTTTGGGGGAATAGTACAATGAAACCCGTGTGTTATTCCTCGGAGAACTCGGCGCTGTGATGCGTCCTGAAGCTGCCCAGCTCACCATCGACTGAAGAAACAATGCAGGCCTAGCTAGCAGCTAACGTTAGCCAGCCGAGGCTTATCGGGTAACGCTGGTCCAGCAGCCTGCCGTGGGATTTAAACCTCGGACGAAGCCGTGTTTTGAAGCTGTAATAACGTCATATGCGGTATGTCACAACTGTTTTTTATTTCATAGTGTGCTTTGTGCTCCCTGCGCCTACCTTAACCTAATTTTGTTCAAGTCGCTGATCATGTAACGCCATATTTTCACAAAGTTAACGTGTTAGCATGTTAGCACTAGCGAGTTGAGTAATCTTAGCTTGTTGATCGTAGCAGTCTGTGGCTTTATAGATTTCAGTGGCTACAAAAGCGTCGACAAACGTGTGTTTTATTTATTTTTTTAAATGGTAGCGATAGGGTCATGTCTCATAACTTTGTCTTGAACACAACGTTCCGTCCTGACGGCCCCAGTCCCCTGTGTCAAAACTTTACTAGTAAATGGAAGCTGAAGCTCAAGAATTCCTCAGAATCAGACCCACAGGATACAGCCCCCCCTTTAAATTAAGGATCGCTGAGTGAATCTGTCCAGAAATACTCCATGATCTGTCCTAGCACTGGTTTAAGTAAGAAGGTTTTCACTTCTGGCCTACATGTTTACTTGTTTAAACAACACGGTTCGCCTGGTTTACTTTTGATTGATCATATCAGTGATCTAAATTGGAAAAAAGACTGCCTTTTTCCAAACACAGAACTTCCTTACATTTCCACCCCACCCCACCTACACACAGCCAAAATTCAAAGCGATTTTCTTAGAATTACTGAGTAAGGAAACAAATAGTTCAGTCCTGAGATAAAGTACAAATGGATTGTCCCCCCTCGATATGGAAGTTCTTCCATCTCATCAGTTTGCTTATGCATTTTTAAAAGTAGTTATTCATTCCCCACTTAAGGACTTTTTTTTTTTTTTACATTTCATCATTTGCTGCAACTTTTCGTAACTGTTTCTTACATAATATTAATAACAAGACTATCCAGCTGTCTTCCAGTTATGCAAAAATAACTTCCTTCTGGGTGCAGCCCCTTGGTGGAGGACAAAATCACAACAAAAAAACCCCAGAACTGAAACCAGTAGTATCTTACAATCCTAATAAAGATCAAGTTTCGGAATGAGTACTGACTGCACAGTTGTGACATTCACAATATGTTGTGATAGTACATTTTTAGAATTTCACCTTTTTATTAATAATGTGTGTGTATTTGCATTTACCCTCGTACACTAACGTTTACATGCACTTGTAAAGACCATGCATATCATGGCAGGCTTGAGTTCACTTGATTGAAATACGTGTCTTTGTCACAAAAAATGACCATGCATTTTGGTTCTTTCCTAAATGTATTACAACTCTTTGAAATATGACAAAATCTGCTGATTTAAAAAACAAATACATATAGCAATGCTTATATTTGGTGAAATGTCCCTTGGCCATTTTCACCTTCTGGCAAGCTTGGGGTTAACAGCCTCACCTTCTCTTCTCCAAACATATTTCTGGTCATTGTGACTAAATAGCTCAGTTTTGTTTTGTCTGTCCACAGAACTTTGCTCCAGAAGGCCTTTTCTTTGTCTAGTTGAACTGTGGAAAACTTTAGTCAAGCTTTAAGGTGCAGCATGTAGTGGAAGGGCTTACTTCTTGTATAGCAACCTCTCAGCCCATGGCGATTTAAAACATGTTTGACTTTGGACACTGACACTTGTGTTCCAGCAGCTTCTAGTTCATTGCAGACTTGCTTTTTGGTGATTCTTGGTTGACTCTTGACCGTGTTTTTCAGCAGCAGGGGATGGTTTGTGTTTTCTCCCTGATAGTGCCAGTGACACAACTGTACCATGCACTTTATACTTACAATTGTGTGCAGTGTTTATTTTGGGATCTGTAGGTGCTTTGAAGTGGCTCCAAGTGACTATCCTGACTTGTTCAAGTCAATGATTTGCTTTTTCAGATCTGTGCTGAGCTCCTCAGGCCTTACCTCTGTATTGTTTTTGGCTGAGTCTAATGACTGCATCAGATGGGCCTTATTTAAATTGTTTCACAGGAGTCAGCAGCTGTAGTCAGTATTGATCACTCACTAGGAGTGCCACTAAATTTTATTAATAACTTACTATGTCACCAGAACAGATCATTTCTAATACTTAAGTTGCTGTATGTGCATATTTTGACCTAGCACATCATATTTCCAGAAGCCCTGTAATACATCTAAAAAAAAAAAAGTGCTTTTTCTCTGACAATGTCAGATATTTTAATGATTTCACTACAGAAAAAGCTGTAGGAGTCCTTTGAAACAAAGGAGACTGCAATGATATGTGTCGTCTTTACAAGGCTGTGTAAACTTTTGTTCATGACCTTGTGTGTGTGTGTGCGCGCTGTAGTTGTGATAAGGAAACGTATGCATGTTTTAATTTGAAGAAACTGTTGATTTAATTTAAGTTGATGTGGACGTAGTAGTCTGCAGTGCTGTTGAAATGTATTACATTCTACTGAGAGGTATTTCTAGTGTTTAGTCTTGTTGTTTCTGTTGTATTAAGCTGCATTACTTCTAGCTACGTGTACCAAAAAAACTTCCCACAAAATATACACAACAATGTGTCAATATTCACTCAAACAATTATTCATAATTGGAAGAGATTTTTAGTAGCGATCGACCGATTATTAGCGTGGGAAATAGCAGATTACATTTAGACTGTTCTTTTGATTATTACCTTTCTTTTTTTCTTTAAAAAAAGCAAAACAACAACAACAATTGCCAATCAAACTTATCAATTTGAAAATGCACTCTTTTGGCCCTGAAGCAGTGGCCTTTCTATTTGTAGTCACCATCTTTGTCCCACCCACAGTACTCTAAGTGGTTGCATGTCACTAGCAATAGCCTATCAACACTGAAGGAGAAATGTCTTTCAACAGTTTGGTATTTGAGTTTGTCTTGTCTACATGTTCAGGGGCGTTTCTAGAAAAAAAATGTATGAGGGAGCACACCATGTCGAGGGAGCGATGCAACCGAGGGGGGGGGATGGTGCGAAGCCTTTGAAAAAATTGAAGCTTAAATGGGACATTCTGAGGGAGAAATTTTAGCTCATGAAACTTCAGAAATCAAGACATTATCGACTGTTGAGCAATCGCTGTTTGGTTAGAATTGTAATACAACTGTACTCTATAAATGAAAACAGGACAAATACTAGTATTGACAAAACTTCTATTTACTAGTACTTGGAATGTTCTTACACGCTCGTACTGCACCATGATACACATACATGTACTACTACGGCAGCATGTAAGAACATGGCCCAAGTGTTACTAGCCCTTAGAGGTCTTGGCCTGTTTTGGCCGTTTTTGCATACTTTTAGTTTTGTCTTTATATACTACATAAAAACATGTTTACCATGCCCATGTTTGGTATCTTTTTTTTTTTAGCACAACATTCTCTATATGATCTGACCGTTATTTTTTCACTTTAACCAACTATATTAACATTTTGGGCTCAAAAACACACAAAAAATACAAAATCCGATTTGAAGAAATGTATTATTTATGATAATAAAAACCACACATGCTTAACGAAGCATTTTGAAAGTTGAAAATGTTTTCATAGGTTGCAGATGTGAATTTGAAAAGGTCAATTTAATATAAAATCAATTATATACAAATATATACAACTATATATGCAACTATACGAAGCAGGTGTGGCTTTCTTTCTGTTTTTATCTGTGCCACTACTGAAAATAATTTCTGTCCAAAATGAGGCAGACGGCCACATTACAGGACCTGCACTTCCAGGGACTTTCTTTCACTTTTGTTTTGTCCGTCACAAAAAAATTGATCACAAAAAATGACGGAGATTTTGAAAGAAACGCGACGCCCGCAGCGCGTATTTCATATGCTTATAATTTACACGCATTTTTTGTCACGCATGTTCCTAACATCATATCTCCGGTTTTACGTGGTCTATCGACATGAAACCAAAACTGGGAAAGAGTTTAAAGTCTGAACTTTTGAGAGCAGTTGACAGCATCACTGTATATACGATAGTTTCCTGTTGTGACGCCTCGAACATGTCATATGATTATATCACGCCAGCGTGACGGCGGACCTCTAAGGGTTCAATCTACATTTTGGTAAGAGGGCGCAAGGCAGGAGTATGAGGGCGCAGCGCCCCTGTAACATTATTTAGACAAACCTCTGATGTTAATACAAAGATTTTTATTCTAACTGGGAATGTACATTGGTTCCAAATATCAATGGCTTATTTTCTTGATTACTAATAATTGGTATTGGCTATGAAAAAAACATGTCAGTCAACCCGAGTCTTTACTTGGTGCAGGTTCTTTATCATATGTCTAATTCTCTTCTTCTCCTTTATCTTCTCGTCTGTACAGCTATGAGTTCTCAGCTGCAGGTCTTCTCTCCCCCCTCAATCTCCTCCAGTGCCTTTTGTCGTGTCAAGAAGCTCAAGGTGGAGAGCAATGTTTGGGATGTGTCCACCACGGAAGCTTACGGCTCCATAGCAGGCCAGTCAGCATACACGTTTACCCCTGCCATGGCTGTGCCGCCCTTTGCACCGTCCCTGGTCTTCCCTCCTACAGCACCTGGCTCCAGGGGTCAAGTGGTGGTGCGGGCAGCTGACAGCACTGGCAGTCTTCCCCGTGGATCCAGTCGACGTGTCACTGAGCAGGCGACATCCTCCTCTTACGCACATGAGACGTCCTCTGAAACAAGGGGGCACAGGCATGGGCAGAAGCGAAAGATCGAGGAGGCCAGTGAAGGCAGTGGGAGTGGATGTGGCAGTGTCCAAATATTAGAGGAGCTCTCAGCTCCTGCAGCAACTTACTCCACCCGTACGGGAGGCGGTGGAGGAGGGGGCACAGGCCAGTCCATACCTCACTCAGCTCCAACCACCAAGAGCAGCAGTTCCAATGGTGAAGGGGATTATCAGCTTGTGCAGCATGAGATCCTCTGCTCGGTGTCCTGCAGCTATGAGGTGCTGGAGTTCTTGGGAAGAGGCACGTTTGGACAAGTGGCAAAGTGCTGGAAGAGGGGCACCAATGAGATCGTAGCAATCAAGATTCTGAAAAACCATCCTTCATATGCTCGTCAGGGCCAAATTGAGGTAAACGGATATCATTTTGTTTATAATGTCATTTGCAAATGACATTGTGTCTGCATGTTATATGTGAATGAATTCATGAATTTAGTTTGGATTGACACTGACAAAATATTAATTAGTTAAAACCACTACAGTTCATTAACACTACATTACAAAACTAGGATATGCTGTAAAACTAGTTCACTGTATGCTGCTTACTCGAGTTCAGTCTGGCTTGCATATCCATGAGTCTCTGATTATTGTGATGGGTTGGGGACATTAAGCTGAAATGTGACTGATATGAAGTGCCTTTTTGTCAGTGACTGGGATACTATTGACACCCAGCATCATTAATCATTTTGGAGCAAACTGACTTGATGAAACCTGTAATTGTCCCTCCGACAGAGTAGAACTACTTTGCTGCACTTCACTGCTCTTGCAATTCCTTGATATGAAACAATGAAAAAGCTTTTTTTTTTTTTTTTGGCAAGTAATATGGAGTTATTTCTTTTTAATAGGTGGGAATCCTGAACCGACTGAGTGCAGAGAATGCAGATGAGTACAATTTTGTGCGTTCGTACGAATGCTTCCAACACAAGGGTCATACCTGCTTGGTTTTTGAGATGCTGGAGCAGAATCTGTATGACTTTCTCAAGCACAGCAAGTTCAGCCCGCTTCCACTACGGCACATCAGACCCATCCTGCAGCAGGTTAGCAAATCATGAACTCTGAATTGAGAAAAGTCCTTTTTTCGTTTGAGTTTTCAGCCTAACTATTATTTGTGTGTTCGTATCTTTAGGTGGCTACAGCACTGATGAAACTGAAGAGCCTGGGCTTGATTCACGCTGATCTGAAGCCTGAAAACATCATGCTGGTTGACCCTCTCAGACAGCCCTACCGGGTGAAGGTCATTGACTTCGGCTCAGCAAGTCATGTATCCAAAGCAGTGTGCTCAACCTACTTACAGTCTCGCTACTACAGGTAGGTGTCAAAAAATGCATCTGTGATGCATCTCACCTTGTAATGTCACGAGGGTGAGCATAGCAACACAACATAGCGACATTACTATGACACACCTTTTCAGCTCTGCTCTGTTTCTTTCTTACTCGTCCTTTAATCTTGTCTTTGTTGTTTAGGGCTCCGGAAATCATTTTGGGCCTGCCATTCTGTGAAGCTATCGACATGTGGTCTTTAGGCTGTGTGATTGCCGAGCTGTTTCTGGGTTGGCCTCTCTATCCTGGCGCCTCTGAGTATGACCAGGTTAGTCCTTATGTCAGTGTTTCCAAGGTCATATCTGAAATTCCTGTGAAAGACTAATCTTTGAGATTGAATAAAGGCCTAGTATGCTATGAGCCTAAATATACCAGAGCACTGCAGAAGAACAACCACAACTAAGAAGAACAAGGGTATTGTTTTGCCTCTCCCTGATACTTAAGCCTGAAGGTTTTCTTCCCTGTGTCCAGATCCGTTACATTTCTCAGACTCAAGGCCTACCAGCTGAGTACCTACTGAGCGCCGGCACCAAGACCAGCCGCTTCTTCAATCGAGGCCCTGACTCCAGCTACCCACTCTGGAGGCTTAAGGTTAATATAACCTCATACAGAATCCTACTGAATATCTGCTTATTAAATAGTCTGTGAAAGATTTACAGGGATATATCATCATAGCTAAATATGCTAAAATATAAAGAAGACTTGCTGCTCCTTCTGATTTTGTTGTTATAAATTGTACCTGTAATTTAAGGTTTAGGAGAAAAGTTTTGTCATGAAAGACAAACAAATATTGTTTTCTTTTACCAGACCCCAGCAGAGCATGAAATAGAGATGGGCATCAAATCCAAGGAGGCCAGGAAGTACATCTTCAACTGTTTGGACGACATGATGCAGGTAGATGGAAATAAGTGCCAGGAAAACCAGGAAATCGCATTAACTATACCACCTGTCAGTAATGTGATCATTTTTCATTTTTTATATATTTCAGGTCAACCTGTCATCGCACTTAGAGGGAACGGACATGCTGGCTGAGAAGGCTGATAGACGAGAGTTTATAGACCTCTTAAAGCGAATGCTTCGTCTGGATGCGGACAAAAGGATCACACCTACAAAAACTCTGGGGCATCCCTTTGTCACAATGAGTCACCTTATAGAATATCCCCACAGCTCCCAGTAAGTCCGTCTAATAAAGTGCATATGTTTGTCAGTTTTGGGTAGGTGTTGATTTAAATGTAATTTCTGAAACGCTTATACTCATTCCTCTCCAGTGTGAAGTCGTGCTTCCAGAACATGGAAATCTGCAAACGCCGGAGCTCTTATGACAGTGGGAAATCCCTGTACTCCACCAATGCAGTCCCCAGCGCTGCAGCAGGAAACCTCACAGTTACCTTTAGTAGCCAACTCAACCAGCATAACCAGGCATGACTCATATTTTTGCCATAGAGTTTCACACTTGTTTATGGACCTGTAATCCTGCTGATAGTAATTAGTTTTGTTATCTTAACAGGTGCCTTCTGCAGGGGGTGCGGTGCCTTTGCTGAACTACCAGCCAGCTCTGTACCAGCAGGCGACCATCAACATTCCTGGACTGGCTCAACAGAGTGTCCCAATTCCAACGCGTACTGCTGGGCTGTGTAGCCAGACCGAACCCTTCCAGCAGACCCTCATCGTCTGTCCACCCTCCACTATTCAAGGTAAAGGACACAGTTACATTCAGACTGAATATAACACAAGGTTATAAAATAATAAAAATCCTCACACTACCCTATAGTAGTTTGTGTAAAGGATTATCCAACCACACAACAGTTCTCTGAGCACTGATTGCTGATTGACACGTCTTTCCTGCTGCAATCTGACCTTTTTATGAAAGATGAGCCATCTTCCTTTTTTTTTTTTCTGTTGCTGTTTTATTTCTGTTGTTGACCTTTATATGTCACAGAAATTCCTCTTTCATTAAGCTTTAGATGCACAAACAATATTATATCTATCACTAACCTCTGTATCAGTTTAGTTGAACATATAACTGTGCTTATATAGTGACATAGGAGAAGTCGGGTTTGTTTATATGTAGCAGTATCCCTTTTTTTCCCCTTTAACCTGTGACAAAAAAAAAAACCTTCATTAAGAGACACCTGTTGTACAAGTAAACCCTGAGACATTTTTCATTTTTATTTTCTTCGTTGTACTGTTTTCCAGGGCTACAGCCAACCAGTAAGAGTTCCAGCTTCCCTGTGAGGGTGGAGAACTCTGTACCCATAGTACCTCAGAACCAGTCTGCTCAGTCGTTGCAGATCCAGCCAAGTATGCTCACACAGGTAAGCTTCTGCAAGATGTGCACATGTGTGGTCACATTTCAGATGTTGGTGAGGGGTCAGTTCTTTCAAAATGGCTTTACAGAAAATCATGATTTATTGTTTATTGCTGCGTGCGAACATATAATCAAAGAAGAGATGCAGTGTTCTGTAATTGTCAACTCTTTCCCCTGCTTTCATTTTGGGTGACCTGTGTCTGTCGCATTACAGAGGAATTCTGGATTTTGATTTTGGTGGCAATATTAACAAGCTCTAACAGGTGACAAAGCTGCTGCTTTTGTGTCCACGAGAGATGGCTTCCAGGAATATTGTGTAGTCCAACGCGCACACACTTGCTAAGAGAGAGGGAGTGCACAGCAGGTCAGGCAGAAAGAGGTGCAGCTGATACTTAACAGCTTTTTTTTTTTTTTTTCCTCTCTCTGTGCAATTCTCTGGTTCAATTTAGTGTGTAGAACTACACTTTAGATTGGAGCCTTTGTTAACAGTGACCACCAGAACAACAGCTGCCCATTTGGAATGGGTCAAGCACTGCTTAAAAATGGATTGAGTAGATGAATTTTTCACATCCATTTCCAGCAAGAGGATGGGGGGGCACAGTGTGGGATTAGGAAAAAAAACACCTCAGCACATAAGCAACATAATAAAAACATCACAACAAAACTCAAGACTTGCATGTGTGGGAGGGGGGAGGGTGTTGGGGAGGGGAGGTGTCACAGCTCAGACACTGGGGGAGCGCGCAGCCACGATGCACATCGCATCAGCCCGCAGCATACTGCCCTGTGACAGGGGTGGGGAGCCAACCAAGGTGTTGAGTCCAGAGGGTGTGTGTGTTGTGTGTATTCGTGTATGTGTAAGTCCATGGACTTCATTGCCGCCCAGACTCAACAGTGTCTCTTGACGTCTGATGCAGGTGATGAGACACGGCCGTTGTAATCCAAAATTCAATAACAGCAACTCGGGTTGCTGAAAAAGGTTTAACAACATCCCTGTGTCATTAGCACCAAGCTGAGAGCAGTGATGCTCTCTTATGCTCATTCATGGATATCCTGAGTACATCCAAAAAGTCTCCCTGTTGGGGCTCTCCTTTCATGCCCCTCTCCTCTTGCTGCCAGCAGAGCTGCCCAAAGTTTGTTGGAGGAGAAGGGCTGTTTAGGTTTTTCAAAAGAAAGGTTTCATTTAACAAAGGGAAGCTGCTGGTTATTTAAGTTTACACCCTTTGTGTATTGAAATCACAGAAGATGTAGTTCATACCATTTCTTCTGTCTGTGTGTTGCCTTGGCTTTGCTTTCAGAACTGATTGAATCACCACTCTGGGCCAAGCTTCTTATTCCCAGTCTTCTAAGTGGGATGGAGGCCAGATGTGTAGTGCAGGAGGCTCATCTGGCTGAAAAAGCCAGTTAATTGCTGTTTGTTAAAATGAGGAATAATTACTGCACACTGCAGAGGTCAGGTGTCCAGATGGCCTGTGGTGCCAGTGTGCATGTCTTGTGCAGCTGGTTTTATCTGCTCTGTCCCTCAGCCTAGAAGGACATTACTTTTCATCATGACCTAACATGCCCTCCCCTATCCTCCCTCCTCCTCCAGGGTTCCTGCACACCCCTGATGGTGGCCACCCTGCACCCACCCTCAGCAGGCATAGCCTCCCAGTATTCTCTGCCCCTTGGGCTGGGCACCGGGGTGGGTCGGCCCACCCTCCTGGAACACACAGCCACAGTGCTGGTAAAGCAACGATGACATCCCTGAAGAAAGACATGCACATGCACACTCCCTCTACCACTAACAATGCCATCTCTCCTGCCCCACTTTCCCTTTTCTTTTCATTTGTTTGCAAGTTTCCCGCTCCCCCTGTGCCACACATTGTATGGGCCTAGTCTTTGTCTTATGCATCATATTTCAGCATTTTCCCTCTTCACATGTGGACTTGTCATGGTTGTCAGAATCATGTTTGGTTGATGCTTATTTTTGTAGGGAAATCAAACCACTTTTTTTGTCTGGCATCACCTTTGTCCTTGTTATTTTTTATTTTTTAAATTCCACTTTTTAACTTTAGATCACAATTGACAAAATTCACATTCTCTTTCTTCTCCAAAGGACACCCTCTCCCCACACCATTCACATGCTTTCATTCCCCAGTCTTTCCCCATAGGTGTGCTGAGGGCATGGAGCGCATGTGTCGCTGATTTGGTCTGCGCTTTGCTTGAAGCTTCTCTTGTCCTGTCCTTCCTTGGTTTCAGCAGAGGAGGTTGCAGCTACAAAGTCTACTAAAACCCCTCTTTGACAGCCTGCCTGACTCTCTGACACACATCTTTTGTTTCAGACCCAGAACATGTGGCATGCCTTTTCCCCAAGACATATTATCAGCAGACTGTTTGGCATCAGGGAACTAAACTAATCTTTCTTAAGTATTTCTTCTTTAACAGGCACCATGGTTCTGTGTATACTTGTCTTTATACCTGATCTGACCGTTTACAGTGCTTCATTGTTTGTGCTTTGCATGATGTCATCTTGTGGATTTGTTGCAGGGCAATGCTATAATAAAGGAATGGCTTGGGAAAGGTTGCTCGCTTATCTAGCTTTGTGCTTTTGCCTGTAGAAGAGATTGGCCATTGGCTTGCCTCTTTGTATTCAGTCTCTGGATTTGTTTCTCAGCATGGCTCAATTTGTCTGGTCCATTCCAGCAATCAGAGAATCTCTGTTCATTCATACATAGCTGCTCATCCATGTTGCATGTACTGAAGTGTGTGTGGTGTTTTTCTCAGCAGGCCTGGCCCACTGGTACCCAACAAATCCTCATACCATCATCGTGGCAGCAGGTCCCAGGTGTGGCCATCCACAGCTCTGCTCACCAGTCGAATGTCACTGAATCACCCCTGGAAACGAGTCACTCAGATGCTGCCGTGCAGCAGGGACACAGCTGGCGGTGGGTTAACCAGAGCATGTTACAGTCGAGCCATGTCCAGACACAAGCAAACACACCGTCCGACTGGTGTTTGTCAAATGTGAAGCAGTGTAGTTTTATAAAAATGGGTTTTCTGTCATGTTTTTCATGCTGCTGTTACAAAATTCAGACATCTGTTTCATTTTCAATATTCCTTTCTGGAGCATCCTTCTTTTTATAGCTCTTTATCTAGTATACTCTCAAATATGACTTCTCTAATTTTGTTGTAGAAATGATCACTCAATTCACATGCAAGCAGTTTGCCATTAATTTACCTCATTCAGGATAAGTACATGAGGCACTACAAATGCTTGAATTTGTAGTGCCTTTAATTACAGAGTAGAGCTGAGTGATGCAGTACCACATAATGCAGATGCAGTGGTCCAGAGTTAGAATATAAAAATAGGAAATATTGATATGAAAGGTAAAATTTCTTTGAATTTGTGATTATCTGCAAAACATCAAAATAGTCATTGTCTCATGTCCTCAGTGTGACTGTGGTATCCACTGCTAACTTGTATGACCTTTGACCCCAACAGGAGTATAACCCAAACCAGGACTCAGCAGGAGAGGAAGAAAGTGAAAGCCAGGCGTGGAGAGAATAGAAACAGGTTGGTTAAGCCTTGCAGTTTTTGCCACTCTGATCGATTTTTGAGTCTCAGTCAGAATTTAAGTCTTCTTACAATGTGACAGAAAAACATCTCTAGTATCTATATTTTTCAAAAATGTCTAAATTATATCATGTTCAAGGAACAGCATGCCATTGCTGTTTATCTCTCACAAATTCAAGGCCGTATTACTAAAAATCAATCAGAATTTCCTCTTGGGGAGAAAATTCAATATCTGTTTCTGCTTCTCTGTCTAGGGGTATCTCTACTGCATCATTACTCAGCAGCAGTGACGTGACCCCACCCAGCTCCAGTGCCACGTTGTCCCAGCCAATTGTCATCTCTGACACGCCCAGCCCAGCAGTCAGCATCATCACTATTCACAGTGACACCGACACAGAGGATGAGCGCAAGTTCCATCCTGCCAGGTGAGAACGAGATGCTCTGCATCAAACACATTTTAGTGTTTGCTGTTTTTTTTCCAGAGCTTCTCGAACAGCAATCCAGGATTATCAAGGCTCTCTCTGCCCTCTTTAAGGCATCAGTGCTACTTCAGTACATCATTTTTACACAACTGACACTATCTCACATATTTTTTTTGTCAGAGTAGAGATAACCACCAGGACTTAGGCTGAATTACTGTGATAAAACGGTGTCATTTTGTGGACTTAACCTGTGAAATTACACTTTTTTTCCATTCCCAGTGTTGGGTTGAGCCAGCGCACCAACGTTATCAGCTGTGTGACCGTGCACGACTCGGACTCCTCTACAGCCAGCCCCCTGACTCCCCTACCCCGCACACTTAACCCAGCTAGCAGCGTGTCATCGCGCCAGGCCAAGTCTCTGGCAGTGGTGGCACCTTCAGTCAAAACACAGACATCTGAGAGGGGAGCAGTCTCCCGTGGGCGCGTAGAGACTGGTGAGAGAGTGCACCCAAGTGCTATTGTTACTTAATTGTTATAAATAATGCATTTTAATATGGGTGTGAATGCGGCACAATTTAATGATGCTTCCTACTTTCAATTTACAGTGAACTACATGAAGCCTAAGCGGTCATCTAATCGACAGCCCTGCAGTTCAGGCGAGAGCATGGAGCGCCATGGACTGGTGCCAAGCCAGTCACACCCATTAAACCTCAGCCAGGTGAGGCTGCTTTTGTCGTTTTGTTGTTGCATATTTAGGCGTTAATGACTCTTAATTTGCATACGGCAGCTTTAAACTGTTGTGAATGTTTCAACATGCTGACAGACTTGACCAACAGGAATGCGCATAAACTCTTTAAAATCCTAAACACGGTGACTAACACTGTTGTGACTGTAAATCACTTCACTTTGAAAAACAGATCAGTTACATCAGGTTTGGCACTAAACAGTCTGATGTCGGCAACATGAGAAAACAAGAAGAGCTCAAACGTGGTCAAAGATCTGTGCGCAGACTGCCGGTGCAACAGTTGAAAACATTCTTTCATCGTGCCAAAAAGATCAGACTTCAAAAGTGTGCCAGCAGACTCACAGGAGCAGGAGTCACAAGTTACAAAGGACGTCAAATCATTGTGAAGTCAAATCATTTTTGCACTTTTTTACCCTGAAAACAAACATTTTTGTCAAGGAGTTTAAAAATGTGGTAGTCCAAGAGTCAAAGGTGTTCAATGTTGAGTCCAAAGTGCTCTCTGCTGGACAAACAGTGAAATAGCATGAGAGTTCCTAAACAACCTCAAACATACTTTTAACGTTTATGTGCTGTACTTTACTTTTACACACAAATTAAAGCAAAATTTTGAATCCTTGACCCCAACAGGTTTGTGACCGTCATCAAAACATTAAATGACAGAAGCTCTTTTGAAAGAAAAGTGTTTCTTAGATCAGTGCTAAGGTGCTATGTTGCTGTTCTGGCAGCATGTGGTGGCTCGACACCTTACCAAGAGACTTTGTGTTCCTTTAATTTGTCACCCATCTGTGTGTACAATATGACCAGAATGTGTGAAGGGAAATGCTTTAACTACTTTAGATTAAATACTTAAGTAAGAAAAATCTCTGTACTGTTTTTAAATGCTTATATCTTCTTTGCCACGCGTAGGTTTTCTGCCTTCTCATTGTTGCACGGATGCAGTTGCATGTATACTGAGTGTTCTTTTTCTTTAGGTTCAGCCGGTGGTTTCTTCATCTCAGGAGCGCTCGGGGGCGTCTCACAACGACTCGTCCTTACGCCGCCAGCCGACGTTTCCTCCGGCCGTCTCAGCCTCTCACTACAGCTTCCCCGAGGTGTCTGCCCTGGCGTCAGGCTCCGCCGCCGCCCCCAGCCTGTACACCTACCCAGCCTCCACCGCCCTCTCCTCAGCTTCTCAGGCCATGGAGCAGCTGCTGGGCCGTGGTCACAGCAGCCACGGACACTCTCCCTCCGCCTATGCAGCAACGTACACCTCATCCTCCTCATCCAGGAGGGACTCGGCCAGTCGCAAGGATTCTGTCAGTAGTCTGCTGCACGGCCTCCCTGCAGCCTACCAGCACCAGTTCGCCGCTGGTTCTCCATATGTTAGCGTGACACCCCGAGCCGAGGCCTACAGTGCCTACCAGCTAAGTCCCAGGCGCCTCGCACAGTACCCCTACTTGTAGGGAATCACACACACACACACACACACACAGAGGAAAAAAAACAAACCCTACTTCCCCACATACTATCACAAAGGGACATTTAAACTGTAGAATAACTGTTTGTCACTTATTTGTTTGCTGCTTTTAACCACAAAACAGCATTTCACCTCTAGCTCATTTATATGCTCTTTTGGACTGTTTTAAGTGTTTATGAAATGTTCTTTGGTATTATTTGTAACGTATCCTTTTATTTTCCCTTAAAAACCCTTGTCTATGGCCCATATTTTATCCCCCATCGTATGTACAATTAAGGCATTGTGGTAAATGTATTTTTCACCTGTTTATCTTGAGCTTCTGTGAAGAGAGAGCATCCTCCTGTCACAAGCTGCAACAACACTTTAGGTGAGCTTTTAGATGCCTGACTTATGAGGCTAGTAAAGCGGACAGCCCTTAGTTTTTTCACGAGCCTTATTAGAAAGTTTTCACACTAATCCACTGAAGCCCTGCAATTTTGTTACGTGTATGGAAGCGTACGCATAATGACAATGAAAAGGATTCTGATTCTGTGTTTTTAGTAAACATAACTGTACTTTACTCATGTCTGTTTACTCTCAAATATGTCTTTTTACTATGTTTAAATTATGTTATGTCGGTGTGAGGTAGGAAGAGGAAGGTCCATGAAGATGTTGAAAAAGAGGTGTGATGAAAACTGTGATGGATACATGTTAATTTAAGTGCACATGTGATAGTCTGTTAATGTAGTGACAGTGTTTAGGCAGGATTGATCATGTCCTTATGCAATAGAAACTTGTTTTTGTTTTGTTTTTTAACTACATCAACTGAGTGCTGAATGTATTTATGAAGTTCAGAGTGGGATCACCATCCTGAGGAATAATGTGGAAAAGCTTTCGTTTTAAATTGTTTTCAGGAAAAAAAAAAGAAAAATAACCTTTCCCTACTTTCTCTCCTTGAAATATGAGAAGTCCAGTTTCATATGGGCTGGAAAAAATATTCTATATACATATATATATGTGAATCCTGATTGTGTAGGACCTGCTATTATGAAAATAGATTAATGGCCAGTTTAGGTTTTTGTTTTTTGTTTCCCTCCCTTTGACACTTTAGAAACGCTCACTGGGAGGCTGTAACAAACTACCCACTGTGATGCACAAGGACAGATGGATATGAGTGTATGCAAACTGTTGTCTTCTCATCAAGTGTGTGATGAGAAACCTCTTCAACTATTCAGAGGTGGTGTTGTCCTTCAAACGCACACAGATTATTTCCTCCCAAAGCGCCGTTTCTCTCACACACATGACTACAGTGTGGAGAACAACAGCCGCTGCGTTAGTCTGAATTCAGGACGGACTTGCAGCTTTTCCTGCCGCCATCTTTACTTTAAAGGAGGTGAATCTTTGGATGGTTTCTGTGGGTTATGAAAGCTCTTTTTTTTTTTTTTTTAATCCTTCCCTGTTGTGTTTGCATCAGTTTTGTGTTGTAATGTCTGAATATTTAACTGTATTTCATCTTAACATAGTATAGTTAAGAGGCTATTTGGTAGAACTAATTCAGGGAAAAAGGTTTCAGCTCAAATAATCCACTGTCACTGTTTCCAATAAAATAACCACAAATCCACTGGGCTTGTTTCATCATTCCATTCTTTTATGTAGCACGTGAGTAAGGAACATTGCCCCTATTTGTTTTGAACAAAATTACTGAGAAGCGATTTACCTCAGTCACGTCGCCTTTAATTTGTTTGCACAAATCATTGTAATCTTTTTCCTGTAGTTATACAGCAGCTAAGGGTTCCCACACAATAAAAGAGATAAGAAGCTGTTTAAGCCTTTTCCTGGATACAAGTCTTATCAGTGGCACGTTTTTACCACTGCAAGCAAATTGCTTCCACAGAATTCTGCAGAGGTTCTGTTTTTATGATTGTTCCCTGTTTTGACTGACGTTTAGTATGGTTGTAAAAGTAGTCACACTGAGCCACATGGTCAGCAGGAGTTTATACAGTATTTTAGTCACAATAATCCATGTTCAGTCAGTTTTCTAGTAATATGTAACATTTTTGTTTTTAACTTGTAAAAACAAAAAATTGTTATAAACTCAAATAAGGACTTTGTTGATATACAGTGTATATATTTTTTAAATATAGTTAAAAAAGGCATATAATGTTTAAATGAAAAATATAAACCAATAATAATGAGGGTTTAAAAAAATGTCAGCTGCTTTAATAACTTTTATATTAATTTTATATTCCAAAATAATGTTAACATCAAATAATACACATTGTTTGTTTTGGAAAGCATTTTTTCTATTAAATGTGGAAAAATGAGCAATTTCTGAATTAACATTAAAGCCGCAAGCGGCGATGGACGGGTC